AGTTTGAGAAGGGTAGTACGCTATGATAACCGTCACGAAATATGTATTTTTGGCGTGTTGTGATTATAGGAACTATAATGTCGTTAAGCAGTGTAACAGTGTAACAGTGTAGCAGTGTAGCAGTGTAGCAGTGTAGCAGTGTAGCAGAGTAGCAAAGAAATATGTGCTTTTCTGACATCGAAAAGAGCGTGTAAAAGAGTATTGTGAGTGGTTGTTTGCTTCCGGTTTCGAGTCGCATATTCTAGTTTTTACTTGTCGTATCGGAGTTGGTATCGCAATCGGAAGAAAATGGAAAGCTCCGATCCTTCCGATTCCGATTCCGATTCCGATTCCGAAAAAGCTTATGACACTGATACTGACTTCGACTCCGATTCTGACCCAAGTGAAAACCAACCTTTATATGGCGAGCCAGGGAATCAAATGGGCGAACTCAACGCTCACGTGCACGCTCGCTTGTTAGAAACAGCAATATCATAAGTAGATTGTACAGACACAAAATGAAGAAAAGGAAAACTTTCCAGCAACATTATCATTTATTATCAAATTTTATACAAATAAATAACAAGGCCTGGTTTTCATTTTCAACGTAGTCGGTGTCCAACACGGAACCAAACTCCGACTCCGGGTAAGACTACGATTTTGTCGAAAGTAAAAATTTATTCAGGCTTAAGAGGTTAATTCGGAATGCAAGACAGTTACACTGACTCCATTACACTACACATGTCGATTTCAAATGATAAGCCAATTGGTACGATTCAAAATAAAATTAGACAAAGGTGTGTAACTAGTGAACATTATGAACTGTGCGAATACCACGCAAACCATTCTTAATTTCACTCTTGCTTTTTTCCTCTTTCTTTCCTTTCTCGCTTCCCTTTCGTTCCTTCTCTGTTTCCTTTCTTTCTTCTCTGTTTCCTTTCTTTCTTCTCTGTTTCCTTTCTTTCTTCTCTGTTTCCTTTCTTTCTTCTCTGTTTCCTACTTTATCTCCCTTTCGTCTTTCCTTCCTTTACTTTCTGCCACATTTCATTCTTGTTTTTGGAACAACAAGTGCCAATTACCATTGTGTAATGATATAGATAAAAAGATATATATGGGACATATATAGCAGTTTTTAGCTAATTATCGTTTACTTGTGTTTTTATTTCATTCTCGYAAGAGGATTCAGACTTATTTGTAACGTGCAAGAATTTTTGGACAGTGAACGAAGGTTGACTATTAAAGTAGAACACGGCGATGCAGTACAACGATGAGCAGGGCTGGTAGCTCGATAATATCCCTCTAGTCGTCGCACCAATTCACAACCGGTGAACATTCTCCCCCAGGACCTACATTCCATTTACACCCAACATCTAACCCTCTAGAACTRTCAATAAAGGGATGATATGACCTTTGGCGAAAGTGTTTGACGTGTTGTATTKTATGTCCGTACGGTCCTGCTCGCTCGCTCTCACACTGAAACCATTGGGAAATGGTTAATTAACTTTAACAGGATGTTTCACTCTTTTCACGACAAAAATTAGGTCATATAACAAAATGCTAATTAACTAAGTTAGGTCGGGCTTGACGGGAAAATATTTGGCTCTTGCCCATTTGTAATCGCTGCGCTCAGTCCATGCGTCATGACTTGGAGATAAAGATTTTCCAGTCCAACCCTCCAACTCAGTCAATGGATACAAAATATTGCGTGACGTGCGATAGTAAGCGATACCATTTGGGAAAGTCTTTATGCTAAACCTCACATGCATTGAAAGCTTTACCAAGCCACCACTGGGTGGTAGGTGAAGACAAAATGAACATCGCTGAGCAGGATTTATAATCTCGTACTTCCAAAGTTCTCGCACCAGTTTCTTTTAGTAGCAGTGCCTCCAGGTCTTCCATCCCATTGGCAACCGAGTTTATGCTAAACCTCAAGAGAAAGTCACAAGCTTAGACCTCTTTACCAAGCCACCACTGCGTAGTTGATGATAACGAAGATGGACATCGATGAGCTGGGTTTATAATATCGTATCTTCCAAAGTTGTCGCACCAGTAACGAACAGCTCCATGTCTTCCATTCCATTGGCAACCGATGTTCAATCCATACCCACTATCAACAAATGCATGCAGAACAGAGGTTTGCCTGAAATGAGTGGTACAGTTCTGACAGCTGATTCCACGCACGTTGATGTACTCGACTCTAGCACATGTGAAACCCCCCAAGTACGTCAGGATATCCATTTCACTCAGACGTCCCCGGATGTAGTCTGTTTTCATCAGTCTATCCTTGTCATAGTTACAAGAGGCTCTCCAGTGAGTAGCGTCACGTTTGACGTGTTGCATTGTATTGCGTGACAAGCGATAGTCAGACCAGTTGGGAGGGTTTTCTTCGTTGGAAGGAAAATCCATTGTCAATGGTGCCGCTTTGTACTTCTTTTTTGCCGAAAGAGCAAATGACTCGATCAAAGTCCACACCATCCCCTGCTCTGACGTCATATCACAGTACACCTTCAAAACTTTACCATTGGTTGTTTGGATTGGATAGATATTTGGCACAGACATGTGGCTGTATGCTGCACATGAACGAGGAGGAATCTGACAAACTCTGCCACCAAAACCCTGTGCACATTTGCATAGAAACTTGTGTGTGACGTTTTGGCACGTCTCGATGCAGGTTCCACCGTTAAGGCAAGGTTTAGAATAACGACAACAGCCATTATTACACTGACTT